AGCTAGTCACTTTACTGTACAAAAAAGTGAAAATACAGTGTCAATGATTATAGAGGAACAGTCAACTTGCTACACTCATAAAAGACCTCCCCTTTAGTTTCTTTTAATAATAATAATAATAAAAATAATTGAAAAGTACAGGGGTGTTTTGGTAACTTGGTGGATACCCTCCCAAGCGCACCTTATAAGTAGTGGATCCATCATTTGATGTAGTGTTGCCGTTTAGACAGTATTCCACTTCCCTCGAAAAGACAAATCCTCCCCCGAGGCTATCCCTTCCTGTCCTTCATCGGACTTTAGCCTAGCACTGCTCTAAGGTACTAACTAGTAGGGCAAGTCCTTTTGTACCGGCACTGTATACTCTGTCATCTCGTCATGCAAAACTCTCCTCAAGGTACGAGTAGAGAAAGTCCCTTTGTACGATTACTGCTTCCTTTAATTCATCTACGAGTCTCTCTGTGCGCGCGTATCTCCTCCTCTCCTTACTGCTTCCTTTAATTCATCTACGAGTCTCCCTGTGCGCGCGTATCTCCTCCTCTCCATTTTCTATATTCAAACAGAAAACACATCTGGCTACTGTAAACGGAGAGGTCTACAATTTTATACTAGCTAGACTATTTAGACAGAAAACTATTAATCGTTTTTCTTGCTTTCTTGACTCTCTTCATGCCAGTTAGTATCGAGCAATGTTCATCAATATCGCTTAACAGAATCTCATATTAATATCTTGGTTTTCTTTTTTTAATATTGTTGAGAAGATTATTGTAGCATGGAGAGAGCAAACACGTCCTTAGCGAGAACCAAATCAGAACAATTGGCTGAGACAGTGGAGGCAGCGTTTAAATCTCCCATGAACAGCGATGGGGCTTCCGAAGGCGGCAGCGGCGGGACACTCTCAGGTAAGTCCAGCAAGAGGCTAACGACTGCAGCCTCACCGGGACGTGCCACTTCGGGTGGTAACAAAAGTACACACATTAGGAAGTCAAGGAGTGCACAGATGAAGTTTGAATTGGATGACGTCAACAGTGGAGCAGCTCTAAGCAGGGCCTCCAGTGCTAGCCTGGGCTTCTCTTTCTCCTTCACTGGCTTCAACATGCCACCTGATGAAATAGCCGACTCCATGCCGTTTAGTGATGATGATATACGTAAGTCTATATACACCTTTTTTTTTAAATGATTCTTCATTGTTTACTAGCATATGGTTGGAGGTGTTATAATTTTGTATGGTTTGTGTGGTCCACTTCAGTATGGGTGGTGGAGGTATGTCCAGTCTTTGTCCTGGCTTGATAATGTCAAAAGGTTTCATGATCTAGCTAGAAAGTAGAACCTTTAGGCATGAAGTACAAGCTACTGGGCTTACTGCATATTAATCTGGTGATCAGAACAACGTGAATGTGAGCGAACTCAAGAAATTGATGACTTGCTTGGTTTTCTGTGTCCACGCATACGCATGCTGCGTTTTCTTTTAACCGAGCACATATTTCTATATCGTATGACGTTATCACTTTCATAATTTGCAAATGGGGTCTCCTAAGTTCGGGTTTTTTTGGGTTGTCCTCTGAAGTAAAAGTAAAACTCATAAAATAGTTATTAAATTACGACGAGTTTCACTTTTTATCTTAAAATGGAGCAATTCATGAGCGAGTAGCTACAAATTTATATGAGAATAGTGCATGGGTGGTACTGAGCTAATCGCAGATAATAATTGGGGTCACAGAGAGTTAGGCAAGACATGCACTTGCCAAGCCTTAAATATGTGGGAGAAATTCAACATGAAAAAGCGGCCAGCTTGTGACGAGGGGGGAGGAAGGTGAGCATGATCATGTTAAACAACCACTTGCAAAAATGGGAAGCTAGTGCGTGAGAAGTGGGTCCCTTGTCTCTTCTCCTGTAAGGGAAAAACCTAGGCCTCCCTCCTTTCAACCTTGGATTAGAGATCTGCAACATAAGCCTAATGATACCCCACTCAGCCTACATAAATATTGATGGGGTATTTTTGGCTCTTATTTTCGTAGTGGTGGTTACTCAGTCTTGCTTCAGTGCGCACTGCATTATTTTTCATGCCCAAGTTACTGGTGTTAATGGAAGGTTGATGTCCAATCTCTTTCTGCTAGCTCATAACCACTTGAGTAGATTCTCTCCCTGTTTTTTTTTTCCCTACAGTATTTTGATCCTTATGAGCTTAATTTCCAATAATAAAAGTGTTAAATTCATCTCTTTTTTTGGTATAAAAATAAGTTATTCATATCAACATTAGGAGATTTAGGGGGTTTTTTCTTGCAAATCTACAGCACTAAAAGTACATGGTGTTTATCCACCTCCTTTTTTTCCCCCTTCCAAGAATAGATATAAATTAAGTCTTCCATATGGGCCCCAGATCTTGGGTCAAGGTTCGTGTTTATTATTATGATTAGCAAATTGGGCCCCAAACTCTATAGACTTTTGCTGACTTGTTGCCTCACGTAACTTTCATCAAGGATATTGATTCCCCTCGTCTTTGCAAAAAATCATGCACCTAGATCATATGTGACTTCAGAAAATGATATCAGCACTTTTACTCTTCTGTCGTAATCCTCTCTCAATGATAAACTCTTGAATGGTTAGGTTTTTGATTTACGTGGGGTGTCCGGCCAGTTTACGTGCACTACAACTAATCCCCACGGTCCACTGAACATCCTGTAAGTCCAGTGAGCAGGTAAGGCACCGCGGGGTGACAGGTGTGCATGGTAAGGTTCGTATGTGATGGGAGGATCGTATGTGACATTGAGGTTACAGAGTTCTCTTTACTGTTGATTGAATTTGTTGGGATCTTTAAATTGTGACCATTGCAACCATATCTTCAGGAATTATTGCAGCCACAAAGTTGTGAAATGATATAACAGAAGCTTCAATCTCTCCGACCAAGTTCAGATATGATTCAATTGGCACGTTAGCCTATACTGATAATTTGGAGAAATATTGGCTAAAATGAGAATTGCTTAAAATGTTCATCACACACTATGTTATTTATCATTCAAGAAGAAAACAACTTCTTCTTTAGCATAAAAAACATCTTGATTCTGTCAATAGTTTACAGTCCTATATCTATGGCTGTTGCAGCGGAGGATCTTGAAGCCGGAATGCGTAAGCAGAAATTTCAAACTGATCCCTCCTTGCCAATTTACCTGAAGGTAACAAAATCTAATTTGCGATGCTGCAGGTTTCCAGTCTTGTTCTTCTTTATTCTCCAAGTAGAGCTAGCATGCACCGGTAGTGTTCAAACTTGCCTTTCCTAATGGTGCCACGGATTGATACCGATACGTTCTATTTGGACAGGCAGGGATGGAGAATTATGATCTAGCAATCAACGCGATCCATAGAATATGGTTAGCATGGTCAGGTTCAGTCTTGTACAGAGTTTCATTCTATATGATATTTTTGTACAAGACTCTCCCTTCTTTCCAACAAAAAATAAAAATGCAGTACAATTTATTAACTTGCCATGAAAACTATTAATGGGGTCTTAAGAGTTCTATTAACCATTTGTAAGAACAGGAACATGCATTTGAGGATAGAAAGCTATCTTCATTTGTTTTCTTGAGTCTACTTAGACTAGTTCCCGAGTCGATCTCAGGCATTGAATAAAAAACAATGCGTATTTGTCAAGGAAAGAAGGGTATGGACATTTTTTTCTTATATTTTGTTAGAAATTATACTTTCTAACTTAGCAATTATCAGATAATCATGTAATGAAGTTTCCACCATTTACCGAATTGAAATTTGTTCTTGTTTGGGAATCTGCAGTTCAGAGATGTTACATACAAGGTGATCATCAAAGGAATGACCTCAACCGAGGAAAAGGATATCTTGAATGGGATCAGTGGTTCGGTGGATCCAGGGGAAGTTTTGGCTCTTATGGGACCTTCAGGAAGTGGAAAAACAACACTTCTGAATCTGCTTGGCGGCAGGTTAAATCAGCCCCCTGTCGGTGGTTCAATAACTTACAATGACAGACCATACTCCAAGTTCTTAAAAAGTAGGTAAGAAACTTAGATATAAGTGCAAGACTGGTTCGGTACTTTCAGCGCTGAATTGACTGGTTGCAATTTATTTTTCATCGCGATGACCAAAAATCAATGAAAAGACGCAAGAACCTGCATTTAGCTAAGTCAGAACTTTTGTTGTACGACTAGAAATTTGAATCATTGCAAATGCTCATCAAAATGACATAAAAAAACATGTGGCAGGATAGGATTCGTGACACAAGACGACATTCTGTTTCCTCACCTTACAGTGAAAGAAACATTGACATATGCAGCCCTCCTTCGATTGCCAAAGACATTGACAAAACAACAGAAGCAAAGACGAGCCATGGACGTCATCTATGAGCTAGGCTTAGAGAGGTAATGAATTCTCATTTCCCTGCCATCATCAATCAAGTTAAAGTTGTAATCATAATTCAAGTCTAGAATGTTAATAATAGAAATAAATTCTGCAGCGTCTGATTGATCTTGCTCATTCTTGAAAGCTAATGTTGGTGTCCCTAGGTGCCAAGACACCGTGATTGGTGGCTCATTTGTGCGTGGAGTGTCAGGTGGGGAGAGGAAAAGAGTTTGCATTGGCAATGAGATTATAATCAACCCTTCAATCTTGTTTCTTGATGAACCAACCTCGGGCTTGGATTCTACGACTGCTTTAAAGACGGTGCAACTGTTACAAGATATGGCAGAGGTATTCTATTTGTGATGCTTCTTATTCAAATTTTTGGCCCTTTCATCAGGAGATAGTGTTGCATTTTTCTGCTACTAACTTGTTTCCATTTAATGGCAGGGTGGGAAAACAGTGGTGACAACTATCCACCAGCCATCTAGTAGACTCTTCCACAAATTTGACAAGTTGATTCTTCTTGGGAAAGGGAGTTTGCTTTATTTTGGAAAATCATCAGCAGCAATGCCGTACTTCTCATCTATAGGTTGCAACCCGCTTATTGCCATGAACCCTGCAGAGTTCTTGCTAGACCTTGCAAATGGCAATGTAAATGATGTTTCTGTCCCATCTGAATTGGAGGATAAAGTGCAAATAGGGAATTCAGATGCAGGAAAAAGAAACGGGAAGCCTTCTCCTGCAGTTGTTCATGAGGTAATGAAGTATACACAGACAGACTTTTGCGTTCTTAACATCAAAAGCTGCTATTTAACTAGGTAATGTTTCTGTCGAAAACAGTACCTCGTGGAGGCCTATGAGACACGAGTTGCGGTAAAAGAGAAGAAGAAACTAATGGTTCCTATACCTCTTGATGAAGAAGTGAAGGCAAAAGTGTCTTCTCTGAAACGACAATGGGGGGCAAGCTGGTGGCAACAATATACCATTTTGTTCCGCAGGGGAATCAAAGAAAGGCGGCACGACTATTTCAGCTGGTTGAGAATCACCCAAGTTCTCTCTACTGCAATTATCCTGGGATTACTGTGGTGGAATTCAGATACTGATAGCCTCAAAGGTCTGCAAGATCAGGTAAATAATGGTCCGGCCAAGGTCAACCCCTGGGCCTTCTCATTTCCATTTCAGGCTCAAAGTTTACTGAAGCACTTCTCTGAAAACCTATCCGAAACCATTGAAAATCAACTGAATTACAAAAAATCAGTCTGGCTCATAATCACAAAAGCACATTTTTTGTTTCCTGAAGCTCCTTTACACAAAAAACATAATTTCACTTGGTAAACTTAAACCTTCTTGGATTACAGGCAGGGCTACTGTTCTTCATTGCTGTTTTCTGGGGATTTTTTCCTGTATTCACAGCAATCTTCACATTTCCCCAAGAAAGAGCGATGTTGAGTAAAGAACGTGCAGCTGACATGTACAGACTAAGTGCATATTTTTTGGCAAGGACTACAAGTGACCTTCCACTTGATCTAATACTACCAGTACTTTTTCTTCTCGTCGTCTACTTCATGGCAGGCTTGCGAATGAGTGCTGCTTCATTTTTCCTAACCATGCTCACTGTTTTTCTCAGCATTGTTGCTGCTCAGGTGAGACTAGCTTGCAATACCAACGAAGAAGGGTGTCAAGAAAAATTAAAATTTAAGTATTTAAGAAAAATTAAAATTTAAGTATTTAATCAAGCATGTCTCCATTGCAGGGACTGGGACTAGCTATTGGGGCTACCCTGATGGACTTAAAGAGGGCCACAACTCTAGCTTCAGTTACTGTGATGACCTTCATGCTGGCTGGAGGGTATTTTGTAAAGGTAAGTTCATCAAAGATCATTTCATACATCTCTCTGTATTGCTCCTCTCCAATGCAATATTTGAGTGAATTTTTTCACAACATTTGAATTTTAGATTCGCACCACATGACACATATTGCTGACATTGATTGACCGATAGAAAAGGACCACTCAATAACCTCTACAATCAATATTGAAGTTTCTGAGCATGTCATCAAGGGTGGAGTTCATTTCTTCACTAATTGATAACTCTCTCCCAGAATTAGTATTGATTCAACTTTTTCTCACCTAAACGCAAACAATGGTCACAAATGGTCTTCGATTTTGCAGAGAGTTCCAGTATTTGTATCTTGGATCCGCTATATGTCTTTCAACTACCACACCTATAAGCTTCTCCTCAACGTTCAATATAAACACATGACACCAGTTTTAAATGGAATGAGAATAGACAGTGGCTTGGCGGAAGTTAGTGCCCTGGTGGCAATGGTTTTTGGCTACCGTCTCTTGGCTTATATTTCCCTGCGGAGAATGAAGCTTTGTGCGCAGTAAGCAATATTATTCAGTGAGCATTATCGACAATTAACTTCCACGATCGACTTCAAAGATCTATTCCATGAAAACTTGGGTTCCACGGATCAGAGAAAGGGATATAAGCTAGTTATCATATTTCAGCTCTATGAAGATTTTTGGATGGCAAAAGCCTCAACGACGATATTTATGCAGTATCTTAGGCATGAAAGTTGATTTTTCCGCGAGGAGAATTCCTAGAAATGCAACACGTTATAAGAAGCTCGCATTCACAAGCTCGTATTTTTTATATTAAAATGGAGTGATGTAATAATAATTGTCAGACATACCTACCCATGAATAATGCATATCTATTGGAATTAGCGACATCTAAAAGTTGGGGAATGAAAAACATGTTAACGCATATGATTTGATAGAACTTTATTTACGTTTTCCTTGGAAAGAAAATTTCCAAGAGCAACCGCTTAAATACATAGAAACCACCAGTGATTGCTAACCAAACACCAAATTGAGAGGGAAAAAAGGTAAACGAAAAAGAAAATCTTGAAGATCCCTCTACAGCTCTGTACCCTTTTGATCCAGCCTAAGGAGTGAGAATCACCCGCAGTTATTCAACTCACAGTTTGTGAAAGGTTAATATATTTTTGGATACCTGGTTCACTAGCTTGGCAATTGCACTTCGCTTCTATCTCTTGCAGATCATTTCCACTAACCTGTGTTCTTCAGGCAAAAATGTCATGTTGCAGGTTCTGTTTTTCTTTTCCCTGTTCTCAAGCCAAGGTCCTTAACCAACCAAGAAGCCGGAGGAGAGCAGCATCCATTACAGGGGACCTTTTCTCAATGCCTACGATAAGATTATGGGGGGCGGGGTGGTAAAAAGAAAAAAACTAGTCATTTAAAGGGAGTAGGAAGCTCATCAAAGTTGACATACAATTTACTTTTCTTGTACTTGCACCGAAATGTAGGATAATTTTTTAAATAGATCTCGATCAGGAAAAAGAAAAACACCTTGAAGGTTTAACAGGGTTGACATTCATTATTTCATCAATGGAGAAAATACATATCTATAATTTCTACCACGACTTGATCATGCTTTCACAAATGTTCAGCAGAACTACTGAAGCCAATATCAAACACATTGAGAATGAGAAATGTTTCCTAGCTTACCAATATCAGCAGCTACTCGATGAGCACACATTACTCCTGAAAAAGCTACAGCTATAACACCCTGTCCTGGAAAGCAGCTATCGCCAACACAGTAAAGACCATCTACAGCCTGCAAGTTTCATCATGTCATGACCCAACTGATTTTCTCCCATGAACTACTTATGTCAATGGATCAGTTCGATCCAAAACTTGAGATAAATCATGTAATCTGAAAAAAGATAAGTGGTTGTTAATGGAGTTTGGCAGGCTTGAGAGGAGTGGGGTATTGACATTTCATCAAGTGTTGATGACACTTCACTTTTGTAGGGAGAGGACCAGAGAGGTAAAAAAAGAAAGTGAAGCACCATTGATAAAGGGCAGAGGCAAATAGCCTGAGTATTTGTTGCTTAAATGATTTCAATAACTACAATTACTGTGATGTTCATGAGAGGTAATGATTGGACTTACTGTTGTATTAAATGGCATTCCCAATAAACCTTTAGGAGTACTGCGTGGCATTGGTCCATAAGTACCCTTGTCACGAGCCAAGTACCGCCTGTGTGTCTTGGGTGAACCTACCTGCCATGATTGCATGTATTTTTTAAGCCAAATCAAATTTGAAAGACAAGAGTCGATAATAAACATAGTATTCCATTCACTGAAACTTGGAATGCAAGAAATTTGAATGAGCTCCTACCAAACAAGGCATGCAGTTAATAAAGTACACAATGGATAGTGGGAAGGACTTCTTCAAATTAGAGAAATTCGTGAATTTAAAGCCTCTCTAAGGATCCAACCACTTGAGGTTGGTTAATGAATTTGTGTGATTCAGGCTTAAATCCATAAGTTGTGATCATTTCCTTCTCATATGCCATCACCTGAACAATCTCTTCACATTCTTCAATGAATATGTACTTTTATGATAATGTGATATATACCTCCATGAAAGTAATTGATGATCTAAGCCCCGGAAAAAGTTTCTTCTCCAATCTGCTTATAATCTCATTAGCCACAACCTTCTTCTTGGCCTCGTAGTCCTCTGTCGAGAGTCCCTAAACATTTAAGTCCAGCTATTAGGAATTTAGCTGACAGAGGGGGGGAAGGGATAGAAATAAGACATTAAGTATAGCTATTCACTTAAAAGTTACAGTAGTGAACTTGCCTCCCAGTCTTCAATGGAAGATGTTGTAAATATGTGAAGTATATGACGGCCTTCGGGAGCCAATGATGAATCAAGAACAGTTGGAATGCTTAGGAATATGCTTCCATAAGGCTCCTCTAATCTTGTCCAGTCATCCTAAGAAAAAACAAAAGAATTAAAGTTAAATGTGTCACGCTCACAATTCCAGATATATGGTCTCAGTTTGTGAGCAAATGAATACCTCAAGAACAAAGTGGTGGCAATCTGTATCTGGTGGTAGAACCTCGGCTTTAACACCCATGTGAATGGAAAGAAAAGATGGAGCCTTGACATAAACTTTTTGAAAATTTTCTTCCTCTTTTGGAAGGGTTTCTCCTTTCAACAACTTCCCTGCAACATATTAATTACTTCATGATAACTGAAAAAGCCCAGTGCTAGAGCAGCAAAAGGTTATTGTCAAATCAAATAAATTAGAATGTCGGAATCTGCCAAAACTAACCAAAGGTATCCCATCTAGTAGCATTTGATATTATGGTTTTGGCAAAGAACTCCCTTCCATCTGAAAGCCTCACTCCTACCTGCCAAATTCAAGTGAAACTAAAATAGATAACAATATTATCATCTTCCTTTTTTTTTATTTCATTTTGCATTTATAAAACCAAGGATTCAACTCTAGCCCCATTTATCCACTATTTAAAACTCACAGCCTTTCCATGCTCAAGAATGATGTTGGTCACGTTTGCCCTGTAAAGAATTTCACTGCCTTGATCAATCAGACCTTTTGACAAGGACTTTGCAATTCCACCAACCCCACCAACAGGATAGTTGATCCCTCCAAAATGCCTATCACATAGAACCTGGTGCCAATAAAAAAAGATTAGAATATACATATTGGAGAGGTCCAAAGTTATTTAAACTGCTCACCATGCCCGCATTGATCATTGGGGTCTGCAAAGCATTGACTGTGCTCACTATGAAACACTGCAGAGAAACAACAGATAAAACTTCTTTATGAGAATGCAGGACCCTCTTTCAATACCCAAAAGACCATAAAATATACAGAATTTATCAAAGAATTGAATTCGAATTATTTCACCTCTGCATCAATGAAAGACAACAACTCAGGATCCTTTATGTACTTCTGAGCGATGCCCCCAGCATTTTGGGGCAGATAATAAGCTGCAGAGAATAGAAGCACCTCATTAGGGAAGCTTAAAAGAAAGGAACAATTATTTTTTTGGTTTAATTTAGTGACTAGCATGGAAAAAAAATTCATGATAGGGAAATGAAAAGAAAAAAATAAATAAAAAATAAAGATTCAAGGACCAAAAGAGATGTGACTTACAATATTGACTATCCAAAGCTCCAACCTCAGAACTAAAATAGAAGATCATGATAAACATTTGTAATTTTTTTTTTTTGTGTGTGTGAGAGAGAGAGAGAGAATTAGAACATTTTCTTGACCATCCAAACCAATATGATATCAAGGAATGCTCCAAAATATTTTGGGGCCAGCACATTGTCTTTTAAGCAGTCAACCTGGAAGCGATGAGCACAGCTGCAATTGTCTAATAATTGAGAGTTTTTCCAAGATCCATGCTCGACAGTATTTTTTTTTCTAATCTATTGCAGCAATAGCCTTGAACATCAATACAAGATTTGTTAATTAGAAATTTCATGGAACTTAAAAGTTGCAGTTCCACCTTGTTTTCTACCAACAATAATTTTACAATTACATTAATGCCCAGGTACATTATCTGCTACAGTTTTCCTTGCTCAAATGATGGCAAAATAGATGTCCTGATTGTGATTGGGGCAGTAAACAGTATCTACACCCTGTATGCATCTTGCTATTGATTCTGATTTTATAAAAACTTGTTGGAGATGTAACAAGATCCATTCAAATAAATTAGTAAATTTGAGAGGAAAGGATAGAAAAATACCTAGTGTCAAGCATTCAAGAGGCTTCTGAAAGAATTGTCCAAGCAGGTAGATTGGCTCCTCGAGAGACTTCAGTTCCAAAGAGTTCAAGGCATTGAATATCTACCCGACAAAATAAATGCTACGGTAAGTGATGATCAACAAGTAGACACAAAATACTGATAGGAAGTTGCATTCACCACAATTTATGTACCTTCCAGCATTCACCATAGAATTTAAGAATCCCTTCCTTTTCATGGGGAAACTTAGCAGTAAGTTCTGAGATGAAGTCGCAGTACTCTTTGGGAACTTTAACAGAAAGGTTATTAGGTAGATGAAAATGGACAGTAGTGGGGTCAGGAATCACCTTCATTTCACAACCAACTGCTGCCAATGCTCGTGTTATCAAATTTAGGTTGCCCTGCCCAAATTTTAGGCACATATCAACGCTGAACACTTGGTGATTCACCAAAGCATGCAGTGGATAAAAGTTCAGCAGAGATAGCTTAGTTACATAACAAGAGCAAATAACCAATAAAATGCTTACAGTGAGGAGTCCTACAAGCATTGAGGTTAAAATCCTTACTGAAGTCTGGTAAACTTACACTTCTATTAGTTTAGTGGAAATTCTCTTTATGCATGACCCTATTTCACTAGGTTACTTACTTTCTGCAAATATCCATCCAAACACTAATAGAATCTTCAAAATCATGCCAAAAATGCATTACAACCTTATTCCAACTCAATCAACAAAATCAAGTCCTTAATAAACAAATAAATCACAACGCAAATAACAACAATAAAGCAATATGGAAGAACAATAACAACTGACCTTGTCACTGAAACCAAACATAACAGAAGAGCCAACATCAAAAGTATATCCATCCCTCTCATAATACCCAGAACTCCCACCGGGAATCACGTACTTCTCCAAGACCAAAACTTTAGCTCCCTTCACTGCCAACTGTGTAGCCGCAACCAACCCACCAATACCAGACCCAATAACAATTACATCGTAATCACTCCTCTCTCTGCTCACTCCTCTATTTCCTTCAAAATCCACAGTCAACAAGGCCTTTGACCTCAAAATAAATTCCTCATTTAACTTTACTTCACCAAGATTGTCAATTTTGCTTTTTATGTTTCTGGGCACAATATAACCACTGAAAACTGAGGTTTGGGCAGGTTCTACAGACAAAATCCTATGTTTTTGGCTTCTGGGTCTGAACCTCCCTAACTGGACAGTATTGAACTGACCAGAAAATAGGGAATTCTTGAACCCTAGACTCATGTTACTAAATAGCTCTTAACTAAAACTAAAACTCAATGTTCTGTGGGCATCCAAAGAACATTTTGGACAGATATTTTCTTGTTTAGATTTATAGGTCTTGAAGAAAAAATAGCTGTGAGTCAGTTGTTTTGATATATAGTGCTTTGATTCCATTGGCCGTTTGGTTTTTGTCGAGTAGTGATGGTTGCCGCCTGCCTGACTGTTAGAATACATTAAAGTGTTTTTTTCCACGTTAACACTAAATTATCTTCCAAACTATTATGATTAGAAAAATACTTCGAAACACTGGTAGTGGATATATATTACATGCGTGTTCTATCATGTAATATATCCACGACTAGTATTTTAATACACCGTGCATGTAATATATTCACGATTTATAATATTACTAGTTATTTATTTATCTTAACTCTCTCAACAACTGTTAAAAAATACAATTTCAAAGATAATAAAATTATAAAGCAGCAGCTCAAGCTTAGCCACAAAGTTTTTCATCACAACAAATTCAAAACAGTCATTTAAAAGAATTCATCTGATTTCATAGCAAGTAATTTCATATTCAAGTAAACTTAATCGGAATATCAAAACAATTTATTATAATAAATAATATTAATTCAATTACAAATTAAACTACATAATTACATTTAACAAATTAATCTGTCAATGGGTATACATCATTAGAACCACGAACATGATGTTATTGTGCATGATGAATGACTTTTATCTTTTTCTATTGTATTGTCCGAATATTAAGTCTTCTCAGTCTCATCAAGTGAAAAATAGCATGATGAGAACCAAATATTAAAAATATCCAGCACAACATCTTCAGTAGTTGTTTCGTGTTTTTGCTTTTTTCAACCGTATAGTGGATTTCTGACTCTGGATTTATAGTGGTATTTGTATAGAACATGGAGTTCTATAATCCTTAAAACCATAATTTCTTAAGCTATAACAGTAAAGTGAAAATGCGATTAATTTTGTAATTAAATATGTCCAATAAAGGAAAAGGCAAGGAGAGAATATTTGGCAAACAGTACCTAACGAAGCATATGCTTATCTCTTCTCCCAGATTGCAAATGTAAGACCTGTGTTATTCCTTCTTCCTAATTTTACCTTGCGTTTTCTTCGACCACACGAACAAGATCACCAGCAAGCTCCACCATGCGTCCATCTCTTTTTTTAACAAGTGTCCACAAAACAGTTCTTAAAGAACTTTTTTGTCTGATCTAATTTTTTTTTTTAACTCTCTCAGTCCAGTCTCTCCTTCTCTTTCTCTATCAGTCCATTATTTTCTAGGATTATCACAAAAGAAGCGCCAACGAATTTGGATCCAAAACTCTACTCTTCATCTTTATAATTATCACATCATCACCAACACGGAATATTAAGAAAAGGGTACAAATCTATAATCTTTTCATTCCATTTGTTTTAGGTTTCTTTGGTTGTCCAGTTCCATAATAATAATCACTGCAGTTCTGTATCAGTGGCGATTGTCATTTCCAAAAGCTCTTATCTTTTCATTTATTCTTTTATGCTGCTTTTAGATTATGCAGATTCTTTTTCTGGGTTCATTTTATTTTTTTTCGTGTATCTTGCTTGGATTGGTTGCTTAGGTACTGTGCTGACGGAAAAAAAATAAAGAGGTGAAGTAACGGAAGATGGGATCTTTATTTTCAGCTTTTTACTGATGTGGGATTTTTATAGGAAATTGATTTTTATTTCTTTCAGTTATATTAGGACCTTTGGTAATGGAAATGTTTTGAGTTGCTTGTTCTTTTGATTGATTAGTAATTCATGGTCTCTGATTTTCTGCTATTTTTTTCATTTGATGAGTGTCTCATGCTTTTGAATCCAGTTAATGGGTTCTCTGGCTTTTCTTTATTTTAATCATTTAGTCTTTTGGGGGGATTTACCAGTTCTGTTTTACAATATCTTCTTCTTCTCTTTATTTTTTCATTTATAATATCATATATCCAGTCTAACATTAAAATTACAGCTACAAAAAAAACTTTACTAATTGCTTTGTTAGTGCCTGTGCATATCTTATGGATAGGGGAAATTATTAAACTTTTCAATTCTTACAGTACCTTCAATATCCAATATTAGTGATTCATCTTATAAGTGATGACTTCTGCATAATTGCTGCATAATTGCCAAATTAATATTTTTTTTCTTGGATATAATACCCTAGGCTTGAATTGATAGTGAAGCATGTCATTGATGCTTGTTTCTATAGTTAAATCGAGCCTTTTTGGTACAGGGTTAAAGTTTGGGATAGAGAAGCGATGGATAGGCTCAAGGCTCCTGCTCGCCTCATGATAGTTTCGGATCTTGATCACACAATGGTTGGTCTCGTAATTGTTTGGTTTCTGCTTGTTTCATTGTATATTCTTGTGGCCGCTGTAATTTTATTGGACAATATACTCTTGTTGCAGGTTGATCATCATGATCCCGAGAACATGTCTCTTCTTAGGTTCAATGCCTTATGGGAGGCCTGTTATCGTAATGATTCTCTGCTAGTTTTCTCCACTGGAAGATCACCGACGCTTTACAAGCAGTTGAGAAAAGAGAAACCCATGTTAACACCTGATATAACCATAATGTCTGTGGGAACTGAGATCACGTATGGCACCTCCATGGTGCCTGATGATGGTTGGGTTGAAGTTTTGAATCAGAAATGGGACAGGAACCTAGTCACTGAGGAAACAAGCAAGTTCCCTGAACTTACTCTTCAGGTATGTTAAACACTTATGGGATTTGGTTCTCTGATTGTGCATATTGCTTTGAAAATGAGCATATAGTTTTGTACATTGAAGAAAACAGTTCGGCAACTTGAAATCTCTAAATAAATGACATATATGGGGTAATGCAGTCAGAAACAGAGCAACGGCCTCACAAGGTCAGCTTTTATGTTGATAAAGCCAATGCTCAGAATGTGACGAAGGCGCTATCAGAGATATTTGCAAAACGTGGGGTTAGTTTCTAGTTTTGGGATCCTTGCCCCCTCATTTTGTGTTCTTTTTAGTACAGGTGCTACAGTGTCTAAATTTTCCAATCTCTTCTCTTCTTCTTCTTCTTCTTCTCTCTCTCTCTCTCTCTCATCTTTCTTTTTTACTTCTTGTTTTTTTTTTTTCGTTTTTTTTTTCTAGTTGGATGTCAAGATAATTTATAGTGGTGGAATGGACCTGGATATACTACCCCAAGGTGCTGGCAAAGGGCAAGCTCTTGCGTATTTACATAAGAAGTTTAAAACTGAAGGAAAACTACCTGTCAATACTCTTGTTTGTGGTGATTCTGGAAATGATGCCGAGCTGTTCAGCATTCCAGATGTACATGGAGTGATGGTGGGTATTTAAGTTCTGCCATATCACTTCATTGGGAAATTGAGGTTGCTCACATGGGTCATTTTTTCTGTTAACTATTCATTCATTGATTTATCTGTCTAGGTTAGTAATGCACAAGAAGAGTTGTTGCAGTGGCATGCTGAAAATGCTAAAGGCAATCCTAAAATAATTCATGCAACCAAGCCGTGTGCAGCTGGGATCATACAAGCTATTGGTCATTTTAACCTTGGTCCCAATACTTCTCCAAGAGATATAACCAACCTTTCAGACTTTGAGTCGGAAAACATCAGTGCCAGTAGTGAAATAGTGAAATTTTTCATGTTCTATGAAAGATGGAGGCGTGCAGAGATCGAAAACTCTGAGCTATATTTGGCAAGCTTGAAAGCTGATTGTGTATGTTTCTATCCTCTTTTCTTTTGACTCAATGTGTTGCTCTAGAAAAGTTTGTGGACTTTTATTTCTTTCCTTTTCATTGTGATGCATTTTAACCTTTAAGGATTAGGTTTATACTAACTACTATGCAAGAAATAAACATGGCTTGTGTCTGCTTTTCTTTCACGGTATAAACAATACACTAGATTCATCTGGATTTCATATTCTTTTGAGGCTCATAATATTCCAGCTAAGCATTAAATTATCCAGTCATGGTTGTTTGGTTCAGTTCTTTTGCTTTTCTTTCAGGAGGATAAATATATTGCTAATATCGTTAAACAGTTATAAATGAAAGTCTGACCTGTTGTGCTTAACCGTGTAAGCTTTTGATACTTGTTCTCCATATGAATAACCTTGTGGCTGATGAACAGAAAAGCAAGCTTGAGACTGTTCAGTTTTTTGTCCCTTTCTGCCATAAAATCTGAAGGCTTGAATTTGTCTGTTTTGTTTTAAGAATGAATTTATTTAAAGAACTGGACAAGGTTCTCCTGGACAAAACTAACCCACCCACTTGCCTCTGCAGTCAAGGTCTGGGGGCGGATTTATTTTAAAATACATAGAGCAAGCATTATCAAGCATACTTAGATAAATTAATATCCACCATCATCTAATTTGCTGGTGTCCATGAATGCACTCATCGATTTTTTATTATATACATATGTTTTGCTTTTCCAGATTCCCTTTCTTCAGTTAGCCTGATATAATTTTTTCCTTTTTTTGACAGTATTCATCTGGTATTCTTATCCACCCATCTGGTGCTGAGCTTTCTCTTTGTGATGCTATAAATGGAATGAGGAGCTACTATGGTGACAGACAGGGCCAAAAATTTCGAGTTTGGGTAGATCGGGTACTATCCATACAGACTGGTTTGGACACGTGGCTAGTAAAGTTCAATAAGTGGGAATTATCAGGTAAGACCTCCGAATGATAATGATTGCATTATCAATAATGCTGATGATAAAATGCCCCTGCTTTCCCATGCATTTTATGATATATTTCTGCACCAGTTTAGACTGCTGGATGCTGGTACACTTTCCTCTTTTCTTTGATGCCATCCATGTAATTTCTTCTGATTTGTCAATGCAAGGTTTTTTAAGTTTATAACGTATACTTCTTCAGCTGTAGTTAGTTTGCGGGATGTTCTTGAATTAATCAGGGATCTCTTTTCTACTGGATTCTGGTTTTTCTTTGGAGTCATACAAATGCCTTCACATGGGTAGCTGTAAAAAGGTGGAAGAGCCTTTAGAACCTGACCTGCTTAGGAGAGGGACAAACAGATCTACAACTACTGATATTCTATTTCGTACTTGGGGGTTAGAATCCTATAGGTGCTTTATTCGGCAAAAGCCATGGT